AACTTGACATCTGGTTGTAAAGCAGGCCACAGAAAAGATGTTGGTTTCAAGAAATTTGTAACGGTATACAGTATTTAAACAGATCGTTAGCAGGTTTCAGAGGGGTTACAGACATCTATCATGACTCATGTTTTACAGGTATTCATAAACTGGAGCCTGAACATGGGCAGTGACTTGTTTTTTCTCACTCGTATCAGTGGCGTAGCCATGAAAGGAGCTTAAACTGCGTGAGTCCTGGTCCTGGACTCTAGGTCTGTCTATTTCTTAGGGTATTCTTTAGCTTACGTTAAACCCCGCTGCCCCCGAGTTCCCGAGGAGCTGTGTACCACACAGCAGCACAATCTTAGTCATTGTAATAAATGAAACGTCCGTAGGTTTTCCGATGATGGAGGTAGGATCAGGAAGAAATGAATTGAATTCTGTTTGTATTGTTCCTGAACAGGTTTGATGCTCATGGAATTTCTTGGAAGGTGGCAGGTACCTGTTTCCCAAGTGGCAGCGATAGTTTTTCCTGTTTCCCAAGTGGCAGCAATAGTTTTGCGGTTTGGTCTGAATCACATTTCAGTGCTGGTAACAGAACAAGAACAGAACCCAGTTCCAGTGTTCATCTCAAGTGAGTTTGGACATGTAAGAATTAGGAAATAACCACTTCTGATTGTGGAGATCCTGCAACGTGACTATCGAGGGAGAATGAGGTCCCACCTCTCTGAGGTCCCATAACTCTGCGTCCTTGTACAAAAGAGAGTCGCCTCATCTCTGCTCTGAGTTCTGACCACTGTACGCATGCACCCCTGCATTTCTGATGCTCTGTCTCCAGACCCCCCCTGTTTTTTCCCAGTCCCAAATCTGTCCTCTGACTCCTGAAATCTGTTCCCTTCCTCTGAAATCTATTCCCTTCTCTGAATTTTCCTGCTTGCTACAGCATCCTGCCTTTAGAGATCAACCTGGAAGTGTTTAAGCATGTAACAAAACAGGGAGAAGAACTGGTAAGGGACAACAAACAACTGACTTGTGTCAAGAATTAGGACAAGGAGAAAACACCTGGCAGATTTCTCAGTTATAATCTGCTCATGACAGCAGAGGGAGGCTCTGCTTTGTCTTTTTCCTGGAGCTGTGAACGATGCTGAACACACGCAGCAATTGCCCAAGGCAAAGGCACTGTACTGCAGAATTAGATAGAAACTTTCTTAAGTCTTTTGTTCCTGGTACTTGTCTGTGTTTGGTCATCTGAATTTGTCATAAAGACAGATTTTTTTGGTCTAGTTGGTGGTTTCATTTGCAGTTTCAGTATCTTTTAGCTGTTTGAAAAGGGGTGGGGATTTCCTGGAAACGAAACAGAAAGCATTTTTTTTCCCCTGTGTTGACTGTGCCTCAGTCCCTTTAGTCTCAGAGACCCCTGAACTCTTTTCCTAGAAGTCATTTAGCAGCAAGATTTAGTCCCTGTTCCAGTGATCAAAAACAACTTTAAATGCCTTTTCCAGTACATTACCTTGCCAAGATGCCCATGGATGCTGATGATGTGTTACTACTGTTCTGCAGTCTCTCTCGGAGCCACGGGATGAAAGTTGTTGTTAAACACTGTGGTCGAGGAACCCTGCTGGCAGGTGCAACAGCATTTATTGGTGGTCTGATGGGAGGTCCACCTGGAATCCTTCTAGGTAAGTGTGTTTTGCTTAAGGAACAGTAAGCACACTTAACTCCTTGAATGATAAGCTAGTAAGTCTGTGTAGTAGGTATGAGTTGAAGGAAAGGGGTGTGCAGCGCTGAGATTTCACGTAACGGGGCTTTAACAAGATTCTATTTTATATGTTGGCATTTTAGAAAAGAGGTGTGCATCAGGAAGGCATGTGTCGGTGTTTCCTTCTAGGTTGAGCATGACCATGCTGACTTGGACTCCTGTGCTGCAAATGGGAAGCCGTCCAGAGGTCTGTGATTGAGATTGTGGTGCCTTTGAAGGCCCTCGGACAAGCTGTTCAGAAACTGTTTCCATTTGGTGGGTAGAGCCCTGGTTGCCATCTGCTGGGGCACACCACTGTCCGAGGTGTGGGATGGAACACAGAGCAACCTACTAGGCTCTGAGCTCGTTGGTGCAGCCTCTGTTCCAGCGCTGCAGCAGGGAAGTGAAGGGTAGAGGGATGAGGCAGGGGTGAAGGAGCACAAGAGGCAATGGCAGCAGTTGGGAGCGACGTTGGTACCTGGTGACAGAGAAGAAAGGAAATTGGGGTGTAAAGGGAGGGTGAGTAAGGATTCTTAGCCTTAGCAAGGGACAGGATCATATTAGAATGATCTTATTAGAAATGATATTTGTTTCTGTATTTCATAAGTACCTGCTATCCAGTTCTTGGTGAACTTGTTTTCTTCCCCTGGAATTCGTTATTCCCTGTCACTTTGGTTTTTTTCTTTATGTGGAAAATTGCAGGAAGGCCAGAGTCCAATAGTGCAGAGTTCTCTCTCCTCATCCAGTGGATCTCTTGAATTACGAGTTGTCTAGTTTGAAATCTGCCTTGCCCCTGAAGTCATGTGGGCCCTAGCACTTGAATGCTCCTGACTCCGGTAAGCAGTTCCAGCTGCTTCACAGGCTTATTGGTATTGGAGAGAACCGCAGTATGCCTGAGTGAGCGGTAGCAAGGTTCAGTTCCCGAAAGTAAGGAAATACTATGTGAGGAGTGATAACAGAAAATGCAAAAAGAAGCTGTGTCTTTGCTCCTGTTACAAGTACAGAGGTTGATTAACAGCCAAAAGTGATATTTTTGACAAACGTATGACTGAACTTACCAGGAACAAAGAAGCTGAGTTAAGCTTTTGTAGGAAATTTGTAAGCGGTAAATCACAAGTACAAGTTTAAGTGGCCTCATTCTTGAGTGAGATGATGAGAAATACTGAAGTTATTCTTGGATGTGTTTTCTCATTTTGTTTAAGTGTTTGCTTAAATTTTTGTAATGTCTCCCAGCCAAGCTTGGTGTTCTTCAGCCACTGATGAAGGCACTGGAACAAGTAAAGCTGTTACTGTATACCAAAAGCGTGCTGTAGAAAGTCTATATAATAAGAATAAAAAGTTCCAAGTATACCAAAAGCCGTGTCCCAGTTACAGTGCAACTAAGTCAGAAGACCCTCGTTTCACTTTACAAATTGCAAAGGTGAATGTCCCTGGGTCTGTAGTGGGGTTGAGGAGATTTGCAGGGAGATCTGCCATTGAGTGCACTTTCACTTACCCCAACAGCCCGGATAGGTGTGGGACTGGAGGGTGGGATCGTCCTTATGGCTGCCTTGCACCAAGAAGGAGAGGGTGAATTACCTGCCATCTGCGGTCCTTGCTGGAGAGACTTCCAGTGTCTGGTGCTTTCTGAGGACTGCTGCTCTGAGAAGAATGGATTGTGGATGTGTTGCCTGGGGGGAAAAAGTGTCATCCTGTAACAAATCTTCTCTCAATACATGAGGAGCTTGGACATCAATACTTGTTGTGGCTTTTGCATTAAGTGCCCCTCAGTCAGATATTGATGTTCCCGTAAAAGTTCCTTCAAGATGAATTCAGCTGTCAGGGTTTCTCAAGTATTTCTATGGTAACATGGGAGAAATTGCCACCTGAGTAAAATGTGCAAATTAAGGAATTTGTGTCTAATGTAAAACTGCATCCCTGCAAGTGCACAAATGATTTTTTAGGAGCAGTGATTGGGGTGGGAATTTTGGAGGCAGAGTCAGCTCTGACGCCCCACCGTTGTGAGGGTCATTCCTTCCTTCCTTCCTTCATCCCACCCACCCGCGATACCTGTGTCTCTGGGCAGGAGTGTCAGTTGTGTGAATTCCTGTCGGAGAGCGCTGTGTTGCAAGTTAGACTGGTAATGCTTTGAAAGAGAGCAGCCGTGTAGGAGTGTGTTGCTGGTTTCTCAGCAGCAGCCTCGGCTGTGGAGGATGCCTCTGCTGTTCTCGGGGTGACCTGGAACCTCTCTGCTTGCCAGAGCATTTCTGCTGGGGTGAGTGGTGCGCATGGGGTATTGATGTGGTAGGTGAAAGCATGAAGTTGTCTAACCCCGGGAAGCTGATGGGTTTGGTCTCTGTGAGCACCTTCTGAGGGGTGGATTTCGGAAGCAGAAAGCCTGGAGCGTTCTGGGAATCTCTAGTAAGAGACTGTGTGTTAATGGCCCTGATCGGGCAATTGTTGGTCAGATGTTTTCCTCTGGCATGGTTTTCTGTAGCTGTAGAGCTTATCCTAAAGAGACCAGGGCCCTAAGGAGCATTCTTTTGTTTCTGGTTTCTAGCTTGAAGCTCGTAGCTTTGACTGTACAGAGGTCCTTTGTGAGTGCTGGGGATGTAAAAAGCTTTAAAAATCCCTCTTGGTGCTCTGAACATTGTGTATAAACCTAGTTAAAGTAGACACCGATGAACTCTGCATTGGTTTCTAATGAAGGTGGGAACATGGTTGATGAGGCTGGGGTTAGAATGTCAGGTTTTACCATGAACTGGTGAAGAGCAACATCTCTCTCTCTTTTCTAGGAGGAGCAGTTGGTGGATTGTGTGGTGCCTTGATGAATACCAAAGAGTTAAAGCCGGTCGCTGACATTTTAATGAAATTGCCTCCCAATGAGAAAAAGATACTCTCTGATGAAGCCTTCGTTATTCTCAGGCACTTACACTGGAACGTTTTTCTTGAACTGCTTTGTCTGGTAAAAGAAGATCCTACTCTTGAGCAGAAGTTGATAGACATACTGGAAAAGTACCTCTGCAAACAGCTAAGAGCAGAGATACAGTATGGAGAATAAACCTTTCCAGAGCAGGCTTTTTACAGTGTCATGAATTTTACTCTGACAATTGTGGTTCTTCAGCATAGGAATTATTAGTCAATGGTACTAATTATGAATGTTGGCAGATCTCGGTATTATTTTGGTGTTTGCAGTTGGGGTTTGTTTTTGTTTGTTTTTGTTTGTTTGTTACTGCATTATCCTGACACTGACTTGCTATGTAATTTGGAATTGCTCTGCACTAGCACTGAAACCACAATAATTGAATGGAATTCCTCTTCTCTAGTGCT